CTTTCCTTTGATTCTTGCTGCCACTCTTCTGTCACACAACACTCCTGACACCTTTCTCCACCCACTCCAACCCGCCTGCACTCGCCTCTTCACCTCTTTCCTACACTCCCCATCACACTGGACTGTTGACCCCAAATACTTAAACTCCTGCACCTTCTTGACCTCAGCCCCCTGTAACCTCACTGTTCCACTTCCCTCCCTCTCGTTCATACACATGTATTCCGTCTTACCACAACTGACTTTCATTCCTCTTCTTTCCAGAGCAGACCTCCACCTTTCCAGGTGTTCCTCCACCTGCTCTCTGCTCTCACTACAGATGACAATGTCATCCGCAAAAATCATTGTCCACTGAGATTCCTGATGTCTGACCTCATCTGTCAGACCAGGACCAGGGAAAGGGAAAGACAAAACAAACATGTAATACTTCTAAAGAAGGCCCTGGTGTGGTACCTGAAGGACTGTGTGTCACTGTGTGTTCTGCTGCTTCCTGCTTGATCACATCCTGTTTGGTATAGTCAGCAGGTCCAGCATGAGCTTCTAGAAGAGTCCTGTCTGCAGATGGACAGGCTCCCTGCTGTAAGAAAGCCAGAGAAAGAAAGAGGCTAATGATTAAGGTAGGTCAGACCACTGTGCATGCAGTGTTTATATCCAAAAAGGAGCAGATATGTGCAATCAATACACTTTGTGTATGGTTGCACTTTTTAGCCATAAAAATGTACTTTTAGAGGTTTACAAATGGCTTACTCCAAGTAAGAATATACTGGAATAGGGTGCACGTACAAGCAGATATCTGGAGAATTTCAGGCATGTAAACACAAAATAAACTGACCAAAATTTACTTGTTCTTCCCATAACCATCACACAGAAAGAAATCAATGCCTTCCTGTTTATTTCTATTAGGAATTTCTGTGTAGCAGAACAAACTGCGTGAACTGAGTGATATTTTAGTCTGGTAACACCTAAAAGCAAGACAGCTCCTTGTAATGTGTGTAAAGCCAGCGTGCCGAGGGGTGGAAGTATAGCTGCGTTGTACAATACAACCAATTTAATCAAGCACCTGCAGAGGTTTCATGTGAAAGAGTATCAGTATTGTGTCGAGATCTGTTCTCTGTCGAGATGGGATTCCCCTAACCTGAACGCTACCCTTATCCTAGTCACAGTCACAGAGGGGGCGCTACTAGAAACACAGTTTTAACAGGGGAAAACACACACCCTGACAGGGAAACAGATTTCAGCACAAGACCAGGAGTTCATGCTAGCCAGCTGACAAGAAGACACCACCAGGCAGCAGACTCTTGCTGATGCTTTCCAGAAACGTGATAAACTTCCAGCAGACAACCGAAAGACTAAAGAGAACACAAAGACGTTGCTTGACTTCATTATACTAGATGACCAACCACTATCTGTCGTGGAAAATGTTGGATTTCACAGCCTGTTGGAGCACTTAGAGCCCAGGTATAATCTGCCATCCAGCAAACACATTTCAGAGACTGCTATACCCGAAGTATACAACCGAGTGTCATCACAGTTAGCAGCGTAGTTAAGAGATGTTAAAGCCATGAGCTTAACAACTGATATTTGGACCTCAGATGTGAGCAGCATCGCAGGTGATCCCCTCTGCTACTTTACTGGACCCTTGATAACAAATACAAGTGAGACAGATTTTTTTTATTCATAATAAATTATTAATGCCCTAATTTTGGCTACATTTTAAATAGTAACTGTAAAATTTTGCAAAACCAAAGCTACATGTTTATTTCTAGCCCAAAAGTAGAGATTTGTAAATGTGTAATAATTTGGAAAAGTGTGTGTGCCGTTGGCCTCTGGCCATCTAGCAGTTGCACTTATCCATCATTAGTCATATTTTGTATATTAGTATTGATTGTTTTATTGCAATGAAAGAGCTCTTTTATCGGAATTGGATTGGAACTGAAAAAATGTGGATTGGCCCATCACTGAGGTCAAATACAAGGCATTTGCTAAAGGAAAACAGAGTATGTGATATTTATAATCCAGTGTATGCTGCTGTTGCTTTCTTTCAACTCTGGAAGTCCAGCAGCCAAATCCATCATTTCATTAATAATTTACAAATAGCACAAGCAGTTTGGTTTGCTTGAAGAGCCAAAACCAAACAGGAGAGAGAAGCTTGGTTACTGCACATATTTTCTGGCAAATTTCTGTCATGTGGGAACTGGAGCGAGGGTTGAACCTTCATGTTAAATACTCTGATGATTTGCCAGCTCAGGGATGAGTAAGATTTCCAGAAGTCTTTTGCTCTTTGGCAAGAGCACAGTTGGCAACATTTCTTGGTAAAGGATTTGACTCACAGCTAACCAGAGGGAGCAGCACTAAAATCAACCGCAAGTCGAAGTTTAACGGCTCGGCCAACCAAAAACTTGTTCTTCTGTGCAGTTACTGTTCCCCACCGTGCTGCTATTCTTCAGCAGCGCTGCTGCTTGTGGTAAATATAAAATAAAATATCACATCTGTTAAATGTGTACGAGCATCTTGTGTTATGTACCCATAAAATCCACTACTCTATCCTGGCAGTGTTGTTGATTTCACATGTAAGAAGGACTTTTATAATGATTATATACCTCTTTATTTACCTTGGATCTCCCCTCCTTGTCCGTCTTCTTCTTTCCTAATACAACACAGAAACAAAGGAACATTTTAAAAATGCTACAATAAATATTATTTAAGTAAATTTGAACCTATAATTACACACTTTCAGAGGAGTGAGGGAGCAGCAAGTGGAGGAGGTGCGGCCTTGTGGCTACATAGTGTGTGACATGGAAGGTCAGGGCACACAAGGGAGACTGACCCCTGCTCAGTGTAGCATGGACAGAGTCTTGGATCTGGTAGTCTGAGTTAACCAGCTGTAAAATGTTACTGGTGGACTCTCCTCATCACTGCTGGAAAGGCAGATAGTTGGGTGGAGCCCTGACAGTCACAACAAGCATGTTTATGTGTTGTAGCTGAACCAACAGCTCTACTACAAGTCAGTCCAGTATGTATCTGTGAGAGAGTGTCATCCATAGACCTAGCACTGCTATTTATTGTGGTTAAGCTCTGAATAAAGCAGTTACCTGTGGGCGTCCAGTGTGATAACTGCTACTGCAGAATACGAGTAGCTCATATTCAACCTTTCAACACACAGCTTTTGGCCTTTATGAGGCTTGTACCTTCACCTGCAGCTCTGTGCAAGAGGCAAAACCACAGACTACAGTAAATCAGGCCTCTGCTCCTTATACTGCAGAAGCAGCTATTACAGACATAGCAGTCCATGTACAAAGTAGACGTCAGAGCCTTGACCGTTACATCTCAGCCACAGTCTTAGGCCGAACCAAAAGTCCAATCAGACATAGGAAAGTCACATTCGGCTGTTCCCGTTTTAGGGGTTGCCACAGCGAATCGTTACACTGACGACTCGCATGTTGACATTTGGCACGTGTTTTACGCTGGATGCCCTTCCTGACGCAACCCTGATTCGAACCCAGGCCACAGCGGCGAGAGCGCTGCGCCTTAACCACTAGCCTACCAGGGACGGCGGAAAAGTCCAAACAGACTAACTAACTGAATGAATTCTGTTGGAATAATCACCTATATCAACAAAGTACAACAAGGGTCTATTTGATTATGTGTACAGCACAACAAGAATTTGGGGTGTAGTTACTCTTTACCAAAACTCATGATCAGCAGCATCACCCACCTTTCTTCAAGTTTCTCTCTGAGGAGGAGAGCATCTTATAAACCCTAAAGGCGTTAGTTCCCTTTTTGATGCTTTTATCCTTCACCTCTTCGATGTCTGGCAGACTGTTCATGGCACAGCGGAAATTAGCCTTCCATGTCTTTGGATCCGGACGATCTATACCTGGCTGGTATTTACCTAAACACGAAAAAAAACAAACAAACAATAAAAACCAAAATTAGACCGATTACACCCACTTCTACACACCAGAAGTGTAGCACTGAAAAAAGTAGCATTTTCTATTGACAAGGTTTGTATTAAAACATGAATTTGAGTCAGAGGCATGTTACCATTTATTTTTTTGAATCTGGTAAATGGTTTTATAAGAGATTTTCTATTTAAGTGCTTTAGACTATTTCCCATTTACACACACAAAACCTCTCTCATTCACACACACCAGTGATATCACCTTGAGCAGGGTTCAGTGTCTTGCCCAAGAACACACCTACCATGGTACCAAACAGACTAACTAACTGAATGAATTCTGTTGGAATAATCACCTATATCAACAAAGTACAACAAGGGTCTATTTGATTATGTGTACAGCACAACAAGAATTTGGGGTGTAGTTACTCTTTACCAAAACTCATGATCAGCAGCATCACCCACCTTTCTTCAAGTTTCTCTCTGAGGAGGAGAGCATCTTATAAACCCTAAAGGCGTTAGTTCCCTTTTTGATGCTTTTATCCTTCACCTCTTCGATGTCTGGCAGACTGTTCATGGCACAGCGGAAATTAGCCTTCCATGTCTTTGGATCCGGACGATCTATACCTGGCTGGTATTTACCTAAACACGAAAAAAAAACCCAAACAATAAAAACAAAAACAAAAACACAGAGGACTAACAATGTGGTAATTTATTATTCTAGATGGTCAAACTTAGAAACTAAGGACAGCATTGCTTTCTGAAGTTAGTTGTGAATCTGTCTGCCTCTGTTTATGGTACAGCTTGTGTACAGGTACAAATATTTATTAAATTATCATTTTCATCATACATCATTTAACTAGCACTTGCTTCAAATTCTTCAAAGGATTAAACTGCAAAAATTAGACCGATTACACCCACTTCTACACACCAGAAGTGTAGCACTGAAAAAAGTAGCATTTTCTATTGACAAGGTTTGTATTAAAATATGAATTCGAGTCAGAGGCATGTTACCATTTATTTTTTTGAATCTGGTAAATGGTTTTATAAGAGATTTTCTATTTAAGTGCTTTAGACTATTTCCCATTTACACACACAAAACCTCTCTCATTCACACACACCAGTGATATCACCTTGAGCAGGGTTCAGTGTCTTGCCCAAGAACACACAGACAGACATACATATACATATATTGGTATTGCTACTGTTGGTTAAAGATGCATTGGCTGTTTTTTTTCTTTCTAGTTAATTTAGGGCAGTGAAAAAAAAGTAGTAAACACAACACTCACATATTGGTAAATGGACTTACACTTGTATAGCACTTTTTTTATGAACACACACACACACACACACACACACAGAGGTGATATCACCGGAAATAACTTGGTGTTCAGTGTCTTGCTCAAGGAAACTTTCACATGGCCTGGAGAAGCTGGGGATTGAACCACCAACCCTATGTTTGGGGATAGCCCGCTCTTCGTCCTGAGCCTCAGCCACCCCTGTACAGTATCACATCACTTTTTATAAACCTGGGAACATCCTTCTGGCAAAACAATTTTTCATACAAACTCCATTTCTCTCACATGATAAGGAGTTGTGGGACTTCCTGCTCCTAGAGAATCACTGTATGTTTCTTACAAAGTCACCTTAAAGAAAGCTTCTCATGGCCAAACTCGAGACAGTCCTACAACCTGATAATACAACCTTTGATTTGAGACAGAGAACTGGTGTGGTGTCTTGCAGACTTAAAAATGAAAGCCACTGTAAAGGAGAACCAGCGGGTATGTACTAAAGTTAAATCTGTGTATTACCGGTATGTATGGCCCATCTCATGAAGAGCGGAGCATCCTTCTCCAGGTCCCAGCCATGACGTGCAGCATGCATCCACGGGATCTGGAAGATTCTCTTTTCCTATAAACATTTTCATTTTGTCAGCTCCAGAAATTATTACACTGTTTCCTTTTGTGTCTGCATGTGTGCACCCTTACTTTGTTAACCCATTTGAGTCCTGGTATTTGACAGGAGTTGATTTGTTCCTCAAGCCACGGCCGCATCCTCATCCTCTCTACTGGCATTGTGGCCTACGAAGACAGGAAGTAGTGACAGAGAGTGACGTATGTATGAGGGCAATAAGGCTTATATCAAACAACTGAAATTGTTTATTTGTTCTTCCCACAGAGTACATTATTGCAAAACAAATGAAGGTGTTGAATCCATTTCACTGCTTAATCTGTGCTATAAAGACTGTTTCTTTAAAATCTGTTATCAAATAAAATACTTCAGGGAAAAGAGAAGAGAGAGACAACTGAAAGAAATAAGACAAGATAAAGAATACAGCATGTTTATTTAAAATGGCGAGAGCAAACTTTACCCACCCCGCCCGCTTGATTTAAGAGCAGGGTTATAATTCCTGCAGTCTGATGTGATCAAAGTCCAGTGGGCCAGACCACTCCCTGTGCACGGTACAGTGCGCCAACACACGGACGTGAGGGTGGGCTTCCAAACAAGTCAAACAGGGTGACAGGGCACAGCAAAATATTCATCCTTTTTATGAGCCAGAGTTGCAACGTCCAGCTGCATCTGGCTTGGTAAAACACTGCACACACAGAGGCTGACTGCAGTAGGTGTCACATGCTCTACGAAACTATGGCCAGATCAGCATTAAACAAATCATGTTTTTATGCCATTAACTCCGCTTAAACTAGTTGCAGACCAACACTGTCAGCTTTTATACTGTTTTTTTGTTCCTGACTGCACAGTGGGGGGACATTCAGTATCTGTGGTTTACAAAAAAGCAGTAAACTGCACCAGCAGTGTTAACCATGCTGAAAAAAGTTGTGATATGCTTTTTACTGCAGAAAATTAGTAAAAGAAAGTGTTACATGTGCACAGTAGTCAAAGCCTGCTATCACTACTCACAAACTCTAATGGTACACTTGTGACTTACAACTGATATTGAGCCTAAGTTTATGTAATATTTTCCACATGACTTTTGCCCTGCTTACTGACAACCCAAAGACAGGCTATATATTTAATTTCTTAAATGTCCACAAACACGTTTCTAAGTTGCAAAACAGAATAAGTCATCCAGTTCAAATTAAATACTATTTAAGTCACAGTACTCTTTTACAAATTGTTACGTGCATGCACAAAGCCCCGAAGCACGAATTTACACGCCTGTCCATTTCTATATTCATAACGAAATACAGTATTGGAATATAATAACAAAACCGTCCTTTTGACACTAGGCCACTTGCTATCAAACAGTAACTAAAGCCAAGTTATAGTATCACTGCCCGACTTTTATTCGAGTTTTTAAAGTTTGATTTAGTAATGGGGGATACGTCCAAAGTCAACGGCGGTCTGTCGGTCTTAGTGTGTGCCAGCGTGCTAACCCCAAAACAACCGAGCCAAAAGTGAAAATAAATGCCGTTACACTGCCAACAAACAGAAAGAAAATGCAGCCCTACTTTCACTTATACGGAGACCTTAAGATCTGTCATGTCGTCCTGCAGGAAGTCTGTGTGCTAAGCGCAAGTCAACAGCGTTAATACGCGGAAATAACATGTTACCTGTTCGGTTTGGACGGCCTGTAGCTTCACTGCCCTGCTGTCGGGGGAACAACCGCAGCCGAAGTTAGACAAGTTGATTTATTTGTGATTTTAAATTAAAAAAAGAAAGTGTGGTCGACTTTTTATTTCTGTTTCTGTATCCAGACCGAAAGCAAAACAACGGCTAGTCAGGGAAGTGATCGCTCGAGCTGGAAATCCCCCTCCTGTTCTCGCGCTGGGTGGATCTCTAGCAACGTCGTGGAACAACGTTGACCGCGTGCACGTCCCCACGAGGGGGGAGGAGGGCAGACGCGAGGAGGACTAATTAATTAGCTTTTTATTTGCTTTTGCTATTATTTCTTGGTAGGCAACCGGTCAACACAAGCATGATTTATTTAGTTGGTTATTTAGCAGCAGGGACAGTGCACATTAGCAAACATAAATGCGCCAACGTTAGCAAAATACAGATTGTTATTTGCGGTTCATGAACATATAATTAAAATTACACTAACTACTGTAGGCTTCTCGTATAGGTCTATGGCTTAGACGATACAGAATCCCATTTAAATACTTCTTTATTACTTTGGTTCTATTTAAATTCATATTTTTCTACTCGAGTGCCCTTAAATTTTCTATTGTTTTTTTTAGCAAATGACCCTGAAGAATGGATAACCCTTTTTACTTTTTCCTGGACGCTTGTCGAGCCTGTCCACAACACAGGTACTTAAGAAACGTAGTTGACATATTGTCCTTACAAAGCTAACATATCACGGCCAACTACTGCAAGTGCCATAGGCTAGGCTACCTAGTACTAAGACCATGAACTACCAAAGGAGCACATAGTGAAAATGAACGCCCAGTTTAGAATCGCTTTCTGCAAAAACATAGACGATCTTTGAGCTAGATTTCATTTTCACTTCCTTAATATCCGCCTCCCCCTTTCAACCCTTTCTGCAAGGCTGCTGCTGGAAACGAAACTAGAAACTTTAGTGTGTGCATGTGGCACCTGCAGTAAATTGGAAAGAGCAGATTTTCACTTTATTTGACTATTTTAGAAGTGTGTTTGTTAATTTTAGATTAGACTATACAACAGAACTGCATTGCTGATGTGTACATGATTAAAGGTGAAACTGTATCTTAATAGTAATGATTTTGGTACTATATTAACATTGTTGCAGATGAATGATGCCTATGAGTTTGAAGTATTTTGGTGCTGTTAAAGCCAAATTTGTATTAGAATTGTGTTAGCTTCTGAAAATGTTTAAACAAGAGGGTTTATAGCTTTGCTAGTGAACTTCAAAATAAATACTCTGTTCTTGCTTGAGTAGCAACTACTCAAGACTTAAGATGCAGGCTGACTGAATTTAAAGATGAGGTTATGATAATAACAATTCCTGCCATTTCTGGTGGACCCCTACGTGGTCCTTTCTTTGTGAGTCATTCCATTAAAACTATACAGATTGGACCTTGGAATTTATTCTTTTTTATTATCATAACCCCATCACAGGACAATAGGTAAATTCAAAGTAATATGGCTAAAATGCTTTCTGTGGTCAAAGTTAACATCACACGTATCATTCAGCTAAATGAAAAATTCATCTTTTTATTCAACTCCGTTTTGACAATTTCATTGCTCCATGTTTTTTGAGGGATGGGGTGGGTATGCTATGCTTTACAGAGAAGGTTTGAAAGAAAAATGTACCAAAACATGTTCTAAAAGGAAATGCAGTTTCACCAGCATTTGAATGTGTTTTCTTCAAGCCCTTAAATGATGTCACCTAATGTAACAGTACAGTATTTTAGTGCAGAAATACACTGGTGTGATGGGGTGGAACATGAAACTCAGGCTTTTTTAACAATATGTATTTTTTAAAATGTATTAACACTTTTCCCATAAAGAGGACAGCATGTTACTAAAACAAAAAGTCTGATATTTATTCAATATTCATTGTGTCTTACCGTACAGGAATGTGAGAAATGATCATAACGGACATGAGGAAATTATTATAGCTTAACAGAAAACAGTCAAAAAAATAAAAAGGTCTAATGAGGTCAGGGTTATCACTTGCTGGCACAGGCACTGCAGCTGAGACTGGAGGGGTCTGATAAATTGACAAAGTTTCTAATTTAGCAGCAAGAGTGATGAGCTAAAACCAAAGGAAGATGTACAGACAGGGAGGAATTTAGAGAGGTAAAAGGACTGACCTGGTCTGATCTTTGCCATCAATAGTTAGATTTAGCTATAAGTTCTGTTGTAACTGAACCGCGTCTCTCTGAAGGACTGCTGATTCATTTCGGGCCCACAGAACTACACTGTTTCTCTGGCGCCCTCTAGTGGTTGAATGCTCGATTGCCGCTCTTAACCTACAAAACCATCCTCAAAAGTGTTAATCATTCATATACACAGGCTCAGTAACACTGACATCTTGATGTACAAGCTGTAAATAGTGTGTTGAAGACTAAAATAAATGACTATACACCTCTCATGTCTTCATCTTGGAATCTTAAAAACATTGGATTGAATATTACAAAATGCAGGATGTTTGTTGGTTTCTTCAAAGCATGACTCAGAAACTAATGAATGGATTTTAATTATTTGGAGAGGTAGCGTATGGTCCATGGAAACATCCATTACATTTTGGTGGTGATCCAGAGCATCATCCCAATCCATAATTTTTTTAATGGCCTCCCTGGAGGAGGAGGTTCACACTCTGAGTGCTGTTTAGTCTTTAAATAGTAACACATTAGCGACTCTTTATTGATAAATAAGGGCCTGACGTTTAGAGTACATTTTTAACCAGGGAAGCAGTCCTCCATGGACATGCATCAATGGCTCCCCTGTGGAGAGGGTCAGCAGTACAAAGTTCCTTGGTGTCCACATCACTGAGGATCTCTCCTGAACCCTGAACACTAAACATCTGGTCAAGAAAGCACAGCAGCTAATCCACATTCTTAAGGAAGGCTGAGGAGAGTGAGAATGCCCCGCTCAATCCTTACCACTTTCTACCATGGCAATGTTGAGAGCATCTTTACAAGTGATGTCACTTCCTGGTATGGTAGTTGCAGTTTGTAGACAAGAACGCAGCATATTGTGAGGATGGCAGAAAAGGTCACAGTGGTCTCACTCCCCTTAGTTGAAGACATTTATAAGGACAAGTGCAGGGAAAAGGTCCTCGGCAGTGTTGAAGACTCCTCACATCCCTCTCATGGACCGTTTGTCCTTATGCCATCGGGCTGGAGATACTGTTCTATAGGAGCGAGAACAACTAAAATGTGCAAGAGTTTCTACCCACAGGCCATATGAATGCTGAACATATAGCTCATCTATAGCATCGCAGAGCCTGCTGGATTCTGATTTTTTTAACCTCTATTAGGTATTGATGTGATTACTGGGGATTCCTTTAAATTAGTTTTAATAAAAAAGTGAGTTATATGCACTTTAAATTTTGGTTTTAGTTGGTTATGCACTCTGGTTTTAAGAAACTGGATTTCGCTCCCATGCATGTGCATGTTATGCAGATACAGCCTGTTGGAATGACTAATTAATTAAACTTGAAGGAACTCAGACTTTGTGGTAAAGTCCTGTGTAAAACCTTGAAAGACAGAGGCTGCAGAATGCGCTAGTCAGCAGGTATGGCTGAAAAGGAAAGATCTGATCTGCCTGTCGTGGGCCTGCCATGCATTGTGATTAAAAGACTGAAACACCTGATGACACCAAGGTGCACAACTCAAGCTGTGTACCCCACTAACCAATGTAATGTGCTCCAGTGCAGGCACCAGAACTCAGTACGGACAATGGCAAGTTTTTCCCACTGAAAATGAAAAACCTATGAAGATATGGGCTGATAATATCTAGTCTTAAGTACTCACTGCCCCGTTTTGTGCTCAAAATTTAGAAATACGATACCATAGACTATAAGATCTGTCATTTTACCTTTTTCCTCTCTAACAGGGGCCACAATGAGTTTTCATACTCAGTGTATTTTTATGTCAGGAGTGGAGGACTGCTGCCTTATATTTACCTGCCTACATAAACAGTAGAGACAAAACAAGTTATAATGTATACATAATGCACATAATACATATATAAAAACAAGAACTACCGAAGATCTTCAGTCACTTAAAAAGTTTAAATAATTCTCTGAATAGTACAGACATTTAGAGTATTTATTATTAATACTATGATTATTTTGTAGGTTTACAAGCAGGTATACTGATCATAAGAAACTGAACAGACAATGATGGGGGAAAAAAAAAAAAAAAGAGTAATTTTGAAGTTGTGGCCTGGTTAGAATATCAAAACCTTAATGGACAGTCAGTGATGGGTTTGCGCATTTACTGAATTTAAAGACTGACAAAAAAAGCTGACAAGTTGAGTATGTAGTAAACTAATTGTTCTTCCCACACTGTAAATATATAGTAAAAAACTAAACTAAACTAAAATTAAAGACTGATGTTGAAGTGTGTAATCACTGACAAGCTTACTGAAAATGCATCCCTTGAAATTGGTCCAACACGCCGATAGTGCATTTGGGTATCCTTGTAGTGACATTAAAATTAATATTATCCTGTTTGTACGATCAACACAATGCACCATAACACCCTGGCATGTGGCCAAAGGCAACAGACATCTGATATTGACAGCCACGACTTTAGACTCAGTTCTCCACAGTAGGTTGTTTGTTCTTTAAAAAAAAAAGCTACCTACTTAGGAAAGTAGAAGTCTTTGGTCAACATTGAGACAATACATGGGATCTGCTTCTTGCCACTAAATCCAGGTAGGTTGGAAGACGACTCAAAATCCAGCGCCACCTTGTGGTTGACTCGGGTCATGATCTGCATGAGCTCCAGCTCTCCCTTGTGACGCTGCAACATCTCACACAATGCCTGTATGAACCAGGAACCATTATAAGTGTTTCTCCATGAGTAGTAGCCTGCAAGACAAGTGACAGTGTTACCACATTGTGGTCGCTCATATTCCAGAGTATCAGGTTAATACAGATGTCAGCCAGTCATCTACAGTACATGTCATTTCATGAATATAGTGTAATGCAGTTGCTTGACAATAATATACTAACAGACAAAAGGTTTTCTCTGCTGGTGCCATTTACCTGGAGCAGTGGAATATGCATAGAGGAAGTCTGCCTCCACAGGAATCCTCTCTGATGTTTGCTCTTCTACACTGTCAGTCTCGATCCCACCATCCAGGTCTGAACCGCGGCACGCCTTAGGACAGGATGCTCAAGGTTATGTACAATAATAGTGATGGTGTTAACCCCAACAAAACCATTAATTGTAACTGAGGATATTTACATTTGATTGTCGTCACATACTATATGTTATAGAACGGCCAAATCTTTGGCATAAACAGTAGGGCATTACTATATAAATCAATAACAAGCGACTGGCACATTTCACTGGCAAGCATACGTGTGTGGGCACATGAGTATAATCAACTAACCTGTATGAAAAAGAGCTTTGGTTTCCCCACCAGGCTCCTGCAGCGGTCTCCTTTAAAGTATTTTGTCAGGTTTTCAAACTTTTCACAGCCGTCTGTGCCATATATCACCCCCTCATCTCCATGACTTAGCAACACACATGCAAATGATGCACTTCCACTGTGGTCCTCCTCGGATACTAGAGGCAGACACAAGCATAGATAGAAAACAGAGTCACTATCAGCGCAGATACCGTTTCCTCTCTCATTTTTGATGTTTGGTGGCAAAGTACTGATATTTTAGTATTACACAGTTGCAGTTCTCAGAGGACCAGAATCCAAATGTCTGGCATGAGCAGTTACTTCACATTTCCCAGAAACAAACATTAAATTCATGACAAATTTTTTTGAAATTAAAGAATCAGCCTACAGACTAATAATTTGGCAGGTGAGCAGTCAGTGTTGATGAACTGATCCTACATGATGGTATAAACTTTGAGTGCATGAACAACTGTAGTTTCCATTACCACTTGACAGAAGCTGATTTATCTTTTCCACAGTCAGGTCGTTCTCCACTTTGATCTTATAACCCAGATCAGTGAACGTCTTGATAGCAAAAGCGGCATCTACATCCGTCCCATTACGAGCGGTCATCCCTAGAAGCACACAAACAGCAGACCTTCAACATCATCACCTACAGCAAGTCCTCCAGTGCCGACTATTCACAGTGTTTATGTAACCGACATGGCGTGACTCCACTGACTCACTACATTTGGTAAACTTTTACAAGTACCAGCAGTACAAAAAGACATTTCTTTAAGTGGATCTCAGTGAGGGTAAAAAAATCCCCTTTGGGAAAATCTCATTTGATTTGTACATTGAATTTTTTGTTTGGCTCATGTCCCATCTGCTAACGTGGAGGGGAGAGGGTTTATGACCTATACTGTAATCGGAGGGGGAGGACACTTCGCTCCAGGCAGCTGTCATGTCCATCTTTATACACCAGAGCACTAACTGCTGAATGGGTGGATTACCTGTGCTACTGTGGAAGTTCTTATTGTTGATAATAACACACTTTCCAAGGCAGGGGTAGTCCATCTTGTAGCGGTAAGGGTCAGAACCTGCTGCTTTATTGTTGCTGGAGACAGACTGCATTTCCCCAGTAGTATTACCTACTGCATCTGACCTGGAAATTCACACACACACAAATACATGAACACTGTTTCAATGATATGAAACCTGAGAAACTTGTTTAGCACTGTCACACATAATTTTCAACATGCTTCGACAACTCAGTAGTAACCATACCTGTTTAATGACTGTCTGTGCCACCAGACTACACACATCTCAAAACTAGGTTGTTGAAGCAGTAGCAGTGACACGGTTAAAGTTCCAACAACAGAATCAAGCTGTCACTTGATGTGCCTTGTAGATAACTAGAGGATGATGAAAACTATTCTTTTGCTAAACAAATGAATCAAAGCAAATTAACATCAAAAAGTCAACCTAAAACAGACACAAAGGAAATGATGGTCATCAGTTCTTCAGTGTTGATATTTAAAACTTGGCCAGTCAGTGCAAGATGCATACATAATCCTACTTAAACCCATTACATCTGTAATGCAGAAACATCTATGTGGGAGTTTATAATATAAAGGAGACCGACTTTGACTCTGGGTGTGACAAACTACACCATTCATGCTGTTGCATGGGGTCCAGTGAGCTCATGTGATGCCCTGCATAGCTCTGCAGCTGATGTCTAACAGGCCAGGTGAAAGCACCTGTGTACTCAGGTGTTCAGGAACTTTAAACTGAATGGCTGCTCCCTGTATGAGAATAATTAGCCTACTAGTCACTGGAGAGTATAGGTTTAGGTAAATTATATAGGGGTCGTAAGATAGTTACTGACACATAGTAATTACCTCTTTCCCGACCATTTTAAGGCATCCACAGTGTCCCCACCACTCTGCTTGCCACCACTACCGTGAACCCCAGCCATGTTCCTACAGACATGAATAGAAAAGATGGTGATTCAGAAATCAAACAGTGCTGCCCACAAGAGACAGATAAGAAAATTAAATACAAGGAAAAGAAAGAGGAGGACTCTGTCAGCACTCCCCAGATGCAATGAACTCTCCCACCACACACACACGCACACACACACACTCCTCTGGTTGTTCCTAAAAACATAAAATGTCTGCACATACTGTAATAATCCCATCAACATAAAACTAAAACTGTACCAAACTCAAATCATAACCTTTGTCTTATTGTTTTGTGTTATGGTCTGCTTATTTTGTTAAACCAATATATAATTTGTCAGCTTTTTGTTCCATTGCACTAATGAAGGATAAAAAGTTTCTTGCAACTTTACCCCCCAAACACTTTTTGTTTTTTACTAAAACACTCAGGTAGAACACTTTTAAACAGTGTGTCATGTGGTCTGGACACAGTATAAAAAGCAATGTTGAGTATTTATTAAAAAATGTATGAATGATGTATTGGCCAAGCTCTGATGTGCTGGACCAATCGTGTCATGGAGACATTTTCTAAATTACCTCAAATCTACTTTGCCCTTTCTGTTCTGCAAGTTCTTGTTACTTAGTGGCTGATATACACACCAATTAATTTCTCTAATGACAACACTACAACTTTTTTCTATGGCATAAACAGGTTATAAAAGAAAATGCCTGCAGTACTTGTATATACTAGATGATAGTTTGGTAATGTTTTATGTGAAAAACTAAGATCAGAGCAGCAAACCAACAACAAATCAGTGTGTTCTTTGTTAATGGTGATCTTTGTTCTGAGTGAGGTGGCCCATCTTTGCCATAAAACCCTGTTATTATTACTGCTCAGCAGTCACAAAATAAATTTTCTCTATCAACAGGATTCCTCCTAGAGATGGAATATTTCTTTAGTAGAACGATAGTAGTTCCACTGAAACATAGGTCTGTGGTTTATCTCAAACAACCAGTACATGGTTCCTGTCATCCTCTATTTCATTTACCCCAAAAGAAGTGAGGTGGCAGCAGGCTTGTTTTTGTTTTGTTATGGATGGTTAGTTTGGATGAACTAGCCCCTTAAATGCAGTGTCATTCTAAAATTAAGTCAAATGATCAAAAATAGTTGTGATTACTTTGTTGACAACAGAAACTATGACTCATGATGTGGCATATTTATGGGACTTTTATAATCAGCCTGCTGTAAATACAGTTCAATACGGTTCTTTATACTCTTTATAGCTACTTTAAAGGGAACTTGGCAAAACCAGTAGGCTATATACATCACACAAAATGAAACCTCCGTAGCTTATACTGACCACAAAACCTTAAGTTCTTTTTGGAGGTTATTCGTCTTTCTTACCATGGTAAAGACAGACTGACTGTAGGTTATAGACGGTGGCTGTATTAAGAAGGCTCATTCTTATATTCATAGTAGTAGCCCGTTACAGTCATGGCCAAAAATATTGGCACCCCTGAATTTCTGTCAGATAACACACTGCTTCTCCCAGAAAATGTTGCAATCACAAATTCCTTGGTGTTCTCAAGTTTATGTTTGCATTGGAACAACACAAAAATGCAGGGGCAAAAAAGCTAAATCGGATGTATTCGACACAAAACTCCAAAAAGGGACTGGATGGAATTACTGACATCAGCTTAATATTTTGTAGCATACCCTTTGGACAGAATAACTGAAGGCCTCATTTCGTTTCTGAAAATAGTAGAATGATGTGCTTGACCTAAAAGCTCTACTTTAGTCTCATCTGTCCACAGGACATTCTGCCAGAAGGGCCGTGGCTTCCTCAGGTAGGGTTTGGCAAACCCCAATCTGGCTTTCTTCTGTTTCTTTGTCAGCAGTGGGGTCCCCCTGAGTCTCCTATCATATTGTCACTTATCATTCAGATGGTGATGGATAGTGTGAGCTGACACTGTTGCACCCTGTGCCTGCAGGTCAGCTTGAATCTGTTTGTAAGTTGATCGGGGTTCTTTATCAACCATTGTTCTTTTTCATCCACATCCAGGGAGATTAGCTACAGGGCCATGACCTGTAAATGTCTTGACAAAGTTGTGGACACAGGAACAGCCAGATCTCTGGAGATGGACTTGGAGCCTGTAGATTGTCCAGGCTTTTCCACTATTGTGGTTCTCAGATCCTCAGACAATTCTTTGCTCTTCTGCATGCTCAGTGTGGTCCACACCACACAAAGGCTGAGTCAACTTTTCTCCATTTTAACTGGCTGCAAGTGTGATTTCTATATTGCCAGCACCTGTTGGTTGATATTTCTGATGACTTCTGAAAAGGTGTCAGTAATTCTATCCAGCCCCTTTTTGGGGTTCTGTGTGGAATTGATCAGATTAGGCTTTTTTTGTGTTGTTCTAAAGCAAACTAAAGAAATAAACTTGAGAACACCAAAGACTTTGTGATTGCAACAATTTTCTGGGAGAAGTGGTGTGTTATCTGGCAGAAATACAGGGGTGCAAATACTGCTGGCCATGACTGTACATCATACTAGGCTATGTCATGTCATAGGTCTTCAGTGCATTTCTTATAAAACAGTGGTTTAGAGAGCAGGTAGCTCTGACAAAATGGTTAATTATTTACAGTTCCTGAACAATCAAGGTAAGCTGGCTGTCGTTTGTGTGAAAACGAAAATGATTCTGTCCAGTCCTGAACAGACATGAGTCAGTGTTTATGGCTGCCGGCGCTAACACGTCGTTAGGCTACACGGCCCATTAACCCATGAAGTTACGGACATTCACCCGTTTGACGCTGCTGTTCCATATGCAACACATCAAGGTGTAACATTAACAGATAACGTTAATCTTGTCTGTGGAAGAGGAGACATTACTTTAAAGCTTGACACAGCTACAAAAAGTTAGCCGTTGTCAACAGGAAAGTACAATCGTTAGTGACACGCAGTCCCTGGCTAAAGTGACCTGCCACTACGAGCTGGCACCCGAATATGTATAAAAGCTGTCAGAGATACTTTGGCCTGCTTTAAGCTTTAAACACCGACTGAACCTTAAACCTTTGCCTACCGCACCAAAAGGCGACCAGGAGGCGCCTTGAGCAAATACGGAGTTTTACCAGTCCCGCATTACTAAGCCACGGAAAAGCTCACGCTCCGCTCAACTCAACTCATAGGTGTAAATAACAAGTCTAATTAAAATATATGTGTACATATGTGTTAAATACGATATTCGTACTACCTTTCGTCTTGACGCAACCACAGAAACTGGTATTAGCACGCTCCCCTCCACAAGAGGTTCTCCTTACAAGGAAACTTCTCGTAGTTTAAAGCAGGCACGTAACTTTCAATCAAGACAGCTCAAAGTGTGGGCGGGGCAAACGTAGCGAACACCCTAAGGTCTGTTCACCTGGGCCACAAAGGAGAAGATGATTGGCTTAGAAAAGTGTCCGCTAACGCCACCAGCGCGTTAGTGCAGGTTGAGGAATTTAGATTGGAAAAAAATACAGCTGACAATCTGTAAAGCTAAATTACTTTATTTTACATAACGTACACAGGAAAGTCAACATTAGTATGGGCAACTTTAAGTCTTTTTTTTCTTGACAGCAAGCATGTTACATTATCTCAGAGAGGAATTTCCTTTTTATTGCCAAGAAAAGAGAAGTATTAATATGCATCCTCTTTGTACAGCTCAAAAACACAGATAAAACATCCTCTTATACTTACACTACTGTATTTATCTCAAAATAGCAGCCTTAGCATTCCTCATAAAACGTGACCTTTGAGGATCATTACTTTGTGTATGGCACTGAACATTATTTCTGAGTCCCATTCAGCATTTTTTCCAGTCTGTTATTGATTCCCCTCAGCTGATGCTCTACTGCCTGAATATGTTTTGTCTCCAGTAGCAGAGCCGGTAAGCTGGATGCTCCATACTGGATAGAAAAGGAAGGGAGAGGAAAGGAGGGAGTATGTTAACAGTGGCGGAAGAAGTACTCAGATCCTTTACTGAACTAAAAGTAGAAATAAAACAACTACATGTTCTGCATTCAAAGTGTTACTCAAGTACAAGTCCAAAAGTATTAGCATCAAAACATACTTAAAGTACTAAAGTACTCATTATGCAGAATGGCACATTTCACATTCCTGTACATCATATTTTTGTATCATAATTACTGATGCATTAGTGTGTACATCACATTTAATGTTGCAGCTGGTAAAGTGGGAGCTAGTTTTAATTAGCTTATATGCATTTAATTTGAATTACTGCTGGGTAGCTTGTGAATGTTCCACCACAGATCAATAAGGCCTTATAATTGTACTGTATTTTTTGTATTAGTCTGGTTATGAAAAGTAACTAAAGTTATAACAAATGTAGTGGAGTAAAAAGTACAATATTTGCCTTTAAAATGTAGTGAAGTCAAATTATGAAGTAACAAAATTAAAATGCTCAAGTAAAGATACTTCAAAATTGTACTTAAGTACTGTATTTGAGTAAATGTACTTAGTTACTTTCCACCACTGTATGGTGAGTGTTTCACTGACACTCTTAAAAAGCATCAGCTGTTCATTAAAGACAGCAGTAAAACTTTAAAAAAATGTTTTGTATGTCTGTATAAACATAAGATGTCTCTGTGATGACAGTATTCAGGACAGTTTTTCTAAAGTTACTATTCACATCAGTGTTGTATGTTTGTACCATCTCTTTCTCTTTGGGGTGTCTGTCTCGGTAGTCCAGATACTTTCTGTTGAGCTCTCTGATGTCACGGAGGAAGGCATGGCCTCGTCTGAGATCAGATAATCTGAGTTCAAGTTCAGTTTTCTCCTTTTGCAGCAACTGCACCTGCCTCTCTGCCCTGTTGGACCAAACACACATGAGACTACTTGGATGTAAACAACCTTCAGACCAAGTTTTACACTTACCTTTTAGAGAAAGCAAGTTAAAAAACATTGGCTTTTAGATCATCAAGACAGGTTTTGTGCTCATTATACACCAAGTTTAACAAAGTGCCCACTGCATCCTTTAAGATCCCTATTTGCCTCTGGAGATTCAACATGATCATAATAAACCCTCTGCAATTGTGCAATGATGATTTTAAGAACATGGTTGCCAGTAAACGTCCAGACATATGATTGAAAGTTTGAGGAATGTACTTTAATGACTAAAAAGGAGATTACTTTGATATTATAGACAATGAAACGTTACACTAATCAGTTTGTGCAAATGAAAACTGGTGTGATTGTGCCTCTGAACTGCTTCTCACCTCATCAGCTCATTCTTGGCATCAAACAGCCTCTGTCTTTTCCTGTTGATCAAAGAACCCACCTGACACAAACACACAACACAGTAAATTAGACTGCTATCAACACCACGCTATACCAAACAAAACGAAATCTACAGCCATGCAAGCAGTTCTGTGAGTTGAATGCCAATATCAACAAGCTGACCTGCTCAGAAAGACTATGCTAATGTACAATGCTAAGCATATTCATTGTCACATTTCAGCATGTTTATTAGCACTAAACACAAAGTATTTATTTGGTCACAAACCTAAGTATGAGACAAATAGTTTTGATGGCGTTAAATAAAATGTTAGAAGATCACCAATGTTATGACAAATCATTCAGATGGAGAAGTGTGTACCACATTTCATGGAAAGCCCTTGAGAATCACAGTAGCCAAGCCCATAATGGCACTAACCTAGTCAGGGGGTCACCAGTGTCAATAGAGTGTCGTAGTAGAGTCCCAAAGTCTGAAACTGAGTTAGCATTCCCTCACCCTGAAGTCAACGGGTTTTTTTTTTTTTTTGAACAGGTCTTTGGTTAGATGCTTGAAATACGGTCTGTGGTCAACACGGGCCAGTACATTTTCATGTTTTTTTCGATGACATTAAATATGTCAGTAAATGCCCCACTCATGATTTTTAATGCTTTTATGCATGTTAAAAAAGGCAGTTACTCACAAGTGGGTAAATGAGACTACAGAGGCTGTCTGGGATATTAAACATCACCACATCAAACACAACTAATCTACTCACTTGCCTGCTGTTACACCCTTGTGTTTGAACTCTGGCACTTGCAAACTATTCTGACTGACAGACACAGCCATGATCTCTACTTGATCAGGAAACGCTAAGAGGAAATGCAAGTTGGAAGCCATGATGGTGACGTTGAAGACCGTGGTGATGTTCATTTATAGCCTAACAATAGCTTTTTACTTCTGGTGATTGCATTTGGGGTTCAAAAAAATCATGAAAGTGGTGTTCACTTGTGAAGATTATCTTGCTGAAAAAAATGTGTCAAACTGTTGTTTGTCACAGACCTAATTTTCTGCAATAATCCAAAAACCAATGGTAAACTCCCACTGGCTTTTTGTAGAGGGAGCCCATGATGATGCTAACTTCTGGACTGGCCCACGGCACTCTATACAAAACATGAAAACAAAAAGGTTGGCATAGTTACCTTGGCATTTTCTCTTTTTAAAGCCATGAGCTCCTTGTAAGAAGACAACTGGAAGATAAAGAAATAAAAATCAACAAAAATATACAGGTATAAGATTAAAATTATGATATGAATCAGAACTACTACTTTATACCCCAGTGATGGGACACGAAATTGCTTATTTGCAACTTCCTAATAAAGTTCCATGTAAGTACTGTATGAGTATGGGGCAGTATAATTTATCTTTACTGGTGAATAAAAGAAATCTAAACACCTAAATATCAACCTGAAACTTCTTCATAACAACACAAAGTCCAGGTGCTCATTTACATCAACCCCTCAGTACTGCAACATGAACCAAACTTGTAAAGTCTGACCTTTTCCAAAAGTTGCTCTTTCACATTGTTGGAGAAAAAATCAATGGACTGTTTGACTGCTTCAGACTCCACAGACTCCCTGAGAACCAACACACAAATACACAAACAATGTAACCATCCATAACTAAAAACACTGTGTATACACATGAAGAAAAGGTGATATAGACACCCCCCCCCCAAAAAACGTGGGGATGTTTGTGAACAGTAACTGGTCATTTACTTATACTTGTCACAGAAATCAAGGAAGGTTTCCAGCACCACTTCTTCTTCTGTTACTCCCTGACGACTACGTGTCTTCCTCCTCTGTTTAGGAGTGGTTTCCTTTTCTGGTTCTGGAGATGCACTGCCTTCGGGGGAAAGAACTGGGTTTTTGTGGATCAAGTTTATTAAAAGCAGAAATAGTTGTTATAAATTAAACAAGATATAAAATGTTAAGTCGGAGGGGGTTTACAGGTGCTTGCAGGGAGACTTTTTTTTTTACCACTGGACATAACCAAGCTAACTAGCTGTTTCCGGACCTTATGTTAGCCTAATCATCTCCTAGCACCTTCATGCTTAACAAACAGATGCAAAAGGGGTTTCAAACTTCTTATCTAGATCTCAACAACACAGCAAATAACACCCAAAATGTCAAACAATTCTAATAAACAGGGATATTAAAACTTGAACTATACAGTGACATTTAAATCGACTACAGCATCAGGCCATAAGACCCTTTTCCTACAATGTTAGAAAATGTTGCTCCTCCCAACTGGCGATTCTCACTTCTGCTTATCAGTGGAACATGGAGTTCACCAAGTCTAGAGCAGCTGTCACAGAAATGAATGGATGATGTTAAAGGACAAGGCCAGTCATCTTCTATATTAACAGTATTTTCAACACTCCACATACAGAAACTAAAACCAACAATGAATTGCCTCTACTCAGTCACTCCAGTCTGTCAGTCCTAGATTAGCTTGTTTGTCCGTGCCACAGACCTCTGTTGTTAAATGTGATTAAAAACAACAAGGGTCTATCATACAGAAAAACAAGCTAATCCAGGACTAAAACTGACGGACATTAACCGTGAGTAGAGGCAATTCAATGTCTGTTAATCTCTTTATGGAGATTGCTGAAAATCCTATTGAATAGACATGAATATGAATAGACATTACTTCTCCCTAGCTTCTGCGCACAGCTAGCTAGCAGAGAACTCCATTCATCTGAGGCAGTGGAAAAAAATACAACTAGTATTATGGTTAACAAATGGGATTTAAAATATCCATCCATCCATTTTCCTCCGCTTATCCGGAACCGGGTCGCAGGGGCAGCAGTCTAAGCAAAAATGCCCAGACTTCGCTCTCCAGACACTTTCTCCAGCTCCTCCGGGGGAATGCCAAGGCATTCCCAGGCCAGTCAAGAGACATAGTCCCTCCAGCTTGTCCTGGGTCTTCCCCGGGGCCTCCTCCTGGTGGGACATGCCTAGAACACCTCCCTTGGAAGGCGCCCAGGAGGCATCCGAAACAGATACCTGAGCCACCTCAGCTGGCTCCTCTCGATGTGGAGGAGCAGCAGTTCTA